TCAGACTGACTCTGTGCCTTGGGATTGTTGTCATGGCCAGTCATAGTGAAAGCCTTCTCCTTTCTCTCAGAGTAGCAATCAAGAAAGGATGCTCACAGCCATCACAGAGAGCAAAAAGCGGCTAGGGTCTCTGCAATTTCTCTTGGTTTAGCACTCATGGTGGTAAAAAAAGGGATTTTCTCAGCCTCTGTATATTGCTGCGGTGCTCCCTGCTCCTTACTCCACAGGCAAACCATGTATGTTACCCATTTTTTGAAAGCAATGCAGGTGATCACTGTCAAAAGTAATGCGCTTCCTGTCGTAGGCACAGAAGGCTTGTATGCCACTAGCTGCAAGTATATCAGTCCTATGTCTGGAGGGGAAGGCATAGAAGAATGCCTGCAGCCTCTGCATTCCAAGTCAGCAATCATAGGAGCAATATAAACCATAAATTCCAGCTTAGCTACAGAGAACTTCTCCCTGCATTAGACAGATGACGGGGTCACACCTGATGGAGCTATGGACTCAAGCAGGGGAAAACAATCCTGGCTGTCGGTGTCAGGTCTGTGAGGAAGGACACTGGAACACTTAGTGGATTGTGAGCTGGAAAGACCCGATTCCACGGGACTGCTTCTCTTGCCCTTAGGATTCTCTTGCTATACAGATACAACCTATTTGAGAAAAACGGGTAAAACCATGTGTATCTACAAACTAGCTACTGAAAGCAGAAAAGGTTCAAATGGCCACAGGTGGCCAAGTTACTGTAGGCAACAGCATAGAAAATCCTAGGTGAAATTGTATCACCAGAAAGATGCTACCTCACGCTGAACAGGCAGGAACAGAGCATGGAGTGTGCCCACGTGACACTCCAGCTAGTGAAGCAGCAATTAATTATCCAGTGCATTAAGTCTTTCTGTGGAAAGAAGCAGAAAAGGGGGAATGATGGCTTCCAATGGTTCCAATAATTGTAGTAGCTACCAATGCTTGGCCAACATGGTGTACCCATTGAAGAGTCTTCATAGATTGCCTCAGGGCCTGGAAAATCCTTTGTGGCTAACTGAGTTCACATAGGCCTGGAAAGAGCCAGAAGGATAACCCAATTGTCTCTGAAAATGCCATATTCTTGTTATGTAGCCTAACTGCTACAGGTGGGCTTTCTTTTGAGAACAGCTCCATTTTTTTAATTCTAGTTTTTTTTTTATATACAGGTGAAACTCGAATAATTAGAATATCGTGCAAAGTTCATTTATTTCACTAATGCAACATAAAAGGTGAAACTAATATATAAGATAGACTCATTACATGCAAAGCAAGATAATTCAAGCCGTGATTTGTCATAATTGTGATGATTATGGCTTACAGCTCATGAAAACCCCAAGAACCCCAAATCCACAACCTCAAAAAAGTAGATTATTACATGCAATCAATAAAACAAGGATTGTACATAGAACAATATCGGACCTCTGAAAAGTACAAGCATGCATATGTACTCAGTACTTGGTTTGGGCCCCTTTTGCAGAACTTACTGCAATTACTTTTGCACGATATTCTAATTATTCGAGTTTCACCTGTATATGTCTTAGTGTCCCATTATTGGAGGTAAACTCTGGTCAAAATGTGAACATTTTAAAACAATTGCACACATGAAGCACAGCAAGCCTCCACAGTATTTATGTGCTTACATTCAGATATTGTTGTAGTACACCAATCCTTCCAAGAAAATGTTTTCACTAATCTGGTGATCTGAGAAACCCTGGTTTTGATGGAAAGAGATTCAATGACACCACCACTGCAGACTTCCTGTTGTCTTTTACATACACAGTATGATGAATGTCAGTACTAACAAGTTTCTCACAGCCACCAAACAGATTCAAACATGTTTTTAAAGCCGAGTAAGCACAGGCTTTAGAAGATACTCACCTACTGAACCTGTGAGGAGCTCTCTTAAATTGCAACTGTAGTGGATTCAGAGATATTAAATTGAAGTAGACTTTGCAGTAAAATGCAAGGTCTGCTTACACTGTCTGGGCCCCTCACCTTCATGAATCACCTATTAGTAGGTGTAAAACGTACCTGTATAGAAAAAAAAGTTAGGGTTTTTACTTGCCCCCATCTTCCCCACAACGACTAGGTGGGGATGATGTTACACTCATTTCAGCTAGATCATGGGTAATACAGAGCAGCCAGAATATCACAAGAAGATGGTCTTGCACTAGACTGGAATTTCTTCTTATGAGATCTCATCTGCTCTGCATTCTTCATGAATCTTCCTGGGAGGAGAGTGCTGTCCGTCTCAGTAATGTAGAACTTGCATCGTACGGCAAGGTCTGTTTTAAGATAAATGTAGTGAACTATTGCTGGATGGTATTGGTAGCTCAGTGGTTGGTTTCACTGTGTGCATTTCTAGGTTTACATATGGACTTTGCAGTATTGTTGCAGTAACGAATGGTGCTGTAAGACTATACCTGGCCGTTTGGGTGCTTCTGCGCATGTGCGTAGCTCTGTCTTCCGCATTTGCGGGAAATATGTGCTAATGCGCATGCAATGGAACATACGTGCAAAAGACTTGCTAAGGATATGATGCAACTCCCCTTGATAGAGAGCTCTATTTAAACCTGCCTGTTATGTGGATCATTGATGAATGGTGTTTCAGCTTGTGTGTCTGTTCCTGTGATTCAGCCTGTCCCTGTGTTCTGCTGCCTTGAGCAGGATCTCCATTGACTACTCCTGATTGCTACCTGCCCCTGACCTCTGCTGCCTTGAGCAGGATCTCCATTGACTACTCCTGATTGCTGCCTGCCCCTGACCTCTGCTTGTTCCTGGACTATTGTTCTGCCTGCTGTTCTTGTACTTCGTTGCCCGATTGGTGTTGACCCTGGTCTGCCTGACTTCGTCCTGCTCCTGCAGTGTTCTTCGCTGTCCTCCTGGCTGCATCCTTGCCTGCTTCCTTGGAGACCAGCTTCTGGACTTAACCAGGCACAGTGCACTACATCACCTGGCACCGGTGCTGCTCTCTGTCCTCTCACTCCCTGTCTCCCCTCTCAGGGGTGTGGGACAAGAGTTGCAGGGGAGGCCTCCTCAACTACTCGGTCCTCTACCAGGTACGTGATAGGTGCCCATATGAAAGGGGCCTAACAATAAACAAAAAATAAAATTAAAAAATAACAACACCTGAAATAATGACCTCAAGACATTGGTAATATTGGAATGGTATACTCTGGGGCCAAGTTAATATACTGAGCCATGCTAAAGGCCTATGTTGCGCACTGTAAATCATATGTTCCTTACCTAGTGACACCATACAAGATAGTATTTGTCTCTACTTCACTAAGTTACACAATTAATAAGGCTGAAAAAAGACACAGATCAACTCATGTTATACAAAATATTAAAATATAACTTTGCCATTTACTTTACTGTAAGAACATTTCTTTATTAAATTACTGATCTGCCATTACTATTTTATGATCCCTTTGTTTGAATCGTTTGAATCCACAGTGATGACATGAGTTCTGAAGTGTTTTATATGACAGAAAAAAAAATTGAAATATATTTTAAGAGAAAACCATTGTTTCTTCATTTAATCCAAAGGATGAATTTGAAAGTAGTGACATTTGCTAGAAATTGGTTGCATGTAAAGGCAGCTATAGGTTCCCCCACAGGAAAGCTAAGATCTGAATGCTCACATTCCTTGTCAAACATTTACAGCCATTACTGAAACTCTGTTCCTCTTGTGGAAGATGTATGTAAAATGTGAATAGCAATACAAAATGAACTACATGTGGGACTATCAGGACTAGAAATTAAAGTATTTTACATTTATAAAATATTAACAAAGACAAGTGTCACAATATTGCTCCACTCCTGTACAGGTCAACTCTGTCACTGGCTGTGTCATCGGGAAACTTTGTTCATCACAAACATGCATGGAAGTCTGCGAACAGCCACTGAGGGATGTCAAAACCAAGGGAGAGTGTAGGTGTACTGATTAAAGGTACCCTTTGACACTGTGCTGCATAGTATACCTATATTTCTAGTTCTGATACTACCTACTTTATATATTTGTTAAAGCACAACTGAAGACACTATTTTTGTTGTTGTTGGAGTAAAGTGGTTTATTCCATGTCAGGTATTTATTGCTGTTTCTGTGGCCTTTTGTGCAGTTGTTCCCTCCCTTGTGTGGTCACTGGAAGAGGAAGTGAGCAAAATGGGACAGACCATTTTTTTAAAGTAGAATAAGAGACTAGGGACTTTGTCAGTTGTTCTTTTTTTTTGCTCTGTCCCAACTGGAGAGATTTCTTTACTTCCTCTTTTATCACCAGCAGATTACGTGTGGTAAAATCGCTGTAATGGGCACATACGTGGCAAAGGATGTTCTTACTCATCCCCACTGTAACCAAAATCAAATATATGATTTGGCTGGAGTTAAGCTTCAAGACTATTCACATCTTGCTTATGTTAAGGTCTGTTTTAGATTTATGGACCCCTATAGCCTCATTCACTCTACAGCCTATTAGCACCTCCAGCTGAAATAACCGAGACATGGTTCATTCATCATTTTGTTTTTCTCATCATAACAAACATTAAAAAAAGGCAAGAAAAGAAAACACAAAATTCACATACATTTAAAAATAAATTAAAATGACACACTACAACTCTTTCAGAAGTCTCTTGGAAGTGGTGATCGGAAACTTGTGTTGTTTTGGTAAGTCAGCACAACTGAAAGATGTTCACCTAAAGTTCTGACCATGTTGTGACCTCACAGGCCTAGTGGCAGTGTTTCTGTCCAGTGTTAGTGTCTTTTAAATAAAAGAGTAGGTTTTCTGAACACTAGAAAAGTTTTACAACACTGCCGGCAGAAAAGAATTCTTTGTACCAAGCCGTTCTCAGCATTATCTTCAACCCTGTTGTCACAAATCCATGTTTCTTCACGTCTAACAGCCACCAGAAACACTACGATATGGCAGGTGTACACTTCCCCAGTCGCAGTGGCAGATAATCTTTTTTTTTTTTTGAGGAAATTTCCTTTTTATATAACCTTCTAGTCTGCTCTGGATGGTAAGGCGCCGGTCATTTTGGATACATCCTCTTGGCAGCTTAAGCTATGCTACCATTTGCTGCCTCCTCTCCTTTTTGTGCCACAATGCTGAAGCAGGGCTCAGTACGCTCTTCTTAGCTGCTAGACCAATGAGGCCACCTCTAGTCATAATTCTGTTATCTCCAGAGGGCTCTCCTCGATGGTATCTCTCAGCTTGTGCATTGGAGTAGACTTGGCAGATTCTGTGCGGGCATTTCTATCATTAAAAACACAATTGTCTGTGCTAAGCGTTTCCAGAGAACGCCCTAGAGCTCTTTGATCTTCTTCTGGTAAACTGTTGATGTCAGAATTTAAGAGAGTCCCTGTGCTACCATGAACAATGTGGATTCCATCTGGTCCTTTCAATTCAATTGGCTGCTTGTGTTTGAAGCGTAGTGAGCCGTGCCTTGGGCTCTCATCCTCATCATCATCCAAATCATTCTGAATCAACTGAAACACACAAAAAAAGCCAGTATTGTATTGTTAATGATCGATATGGGTTGTCTGATTAACATCCTCTGCTATAGAATGTATTCAAGTATGATCCTTAAACCATTTGACTCACTCCTGATAACTATTCAACCATTCTCAGTTGCAAGACCTAAAGTGGAACTTAATCAACATCATTCAAACACAATGTTCATAGAACATACAAGTATGTCTGAAAATGTATGTTGCTCAAAAAGTTAACAAATCACTGCTACATCTGCTGTAGGACCTGTGTCTACAGGATGTTTCTTGCAACACAACTGCTTCTCTCCCCATACAAGTCAATAGGAGTGAAAAAGCAGCTTGATCCATGTTGATGCAGAATAAAAGGAGATCAAAGGCAGGTCAGGAGGAGGTCAACTGCAGCTCAAATGCACCTCTCAATGAACTCTGAATGATTTCAGAAGAATCTCAAGCTTATCTCAAATCCAGACTGAATGCGCCTAAAAGAAAGTTGCATTCACTCATCGACACATGCCATTTCTCTTTGGAAGAAATGGTTATTAGTGGCATTAATACAGTAAGTCACCTGATGCACCATGTGACTTGTAAACAAACCCAGACCTCATGTGCAGTTGCATCACTGGAGTCACGGAACTGGTGCTATCCATGCGCCAGTCTCAGTCCAGGAAGAAGAGAATCATAAATGGCTGGATCAAAGATGGCTGGCACATGGATAACACCTGCAACTACACATGAGGTCTGGGTTTGTATGCAAGTAACATGGCGCATCAGGTGACCTACTGGAATACTGCCCAGTGGCAAGGTATGAAAAAAAGAGACTCATGTACATGGGAAAAAGGCCTTTGCTCAGTTTACTAAGTTGGTTTCATTTACTAGGTTCTAAGAGCAACCTTATCTGCTTATGTATCACTTCCCTTTCAACTGTCTAAAGAAATTAGTAAATGATACCTGTTTTTTCTCAGAGCACATCTATACTTGTTTCTGTTTCCCTGTTTAGTGTAAATAACATAATTTATCTTCAGATTTCTTGTATTAGCTAAATCAGAAATAAACAATAAAGGCTACAATGACAGGGGCTTAAAAGTTCATCTACAGAAAATGTTGCACCGTGCAGCTATGAAAGGAACATAGTACAGAAATAGTGTAAAATGTACTTTGTAAAGTAAAAAAGACAAAAATGGATGTAAATTAAAACACCAACACAGCTTATTCATTATTGTACTCCGCTGCTCAACCTAAAAAAGGTGGCTACAACCAACAATGAGATAAGTTCAGGGCCATATTTCTGCCTAGGCTGTGGGCTGTGGCCTGGGACCCATCCAGCTGTGTCCTCTTTGCTGGTGTCCCTACACTGTTTGTGCATTTTTGTTGGTAGCACAGCACACTGCTGTACATACTTATAGTTCACGTACTTCTGGCTTTTTACACTGAGCACCAAACTGCTAACAGTTTACCCAACTATTTCAATGAAGGGGTGGTGATACTGTATATTGAGATAGGTGTGGATCTATGGTAGGACAAGGTAGCTGAGAGCCATTGGCTGCTCAAATATAGCCTGGATATAACAACAGAGAACACGCCAACACAGAGACCTCAATAGGCAACCATAAGATACATAATAAAACATATTTACTAGTTACTGTCTTGCTTTGAAAGAATTCATATGCTTATCTTGAAGATTATGCTTTATATATATAGACAAAAAGAAAGGTAAGCATGCCTATCTATAGTGAGCCTACCAAAAAAACTTCAATGACAATTTATGTAAAACACTGTAGAAAGATATAGTGAGATGGGAGAGAGACAGAAAACACACCATGCAGACCCACTGCACCCTTGGAGACACACCAAGCATTTAGCCTGCACACAGTGTAAGGAGGTCTACCTCTGTGACTGAGGACTGGTCACCAGTGCTGGTGGTGGCCTTATGAACCATTCTTTGCGCTAATAACTTTTTCAGTCTCATATAATCATCCAAAACGACTTTCAGCAGTGATCCCTGTGTGTGGATGATGGTTAATGTTGATTTAAAATAAATTTATCAAACTATGAGTAAACATCAACATATAAAATGCAAACACAATAACAACTATTTTCTAGTATGCTAGAATGATCGCTGTCAGATAAATGGTTAGTTTTCTAAACTTTGAAATTATTCTTGGTAGGATCTGAATGTTTTGAACCATAAGCCCCAAATCAGCCTACTTTCAGTATCAATCAATCAATCAGTATTTTAAATTAGCCATGGGTCATTCTCAGGTTTGAATCCCACACTATGTACAGTACATTCTTTTAATCTGAGAATGCACTGAACAAGTCCCTTTTCTAATCATAAATATACAGTGTTTTCACTCTAAAGTCAATAATACTTAAGATGCTCTCACAGTTTTGTCAAATATACACCAGGTCCTCTAACTTCCTCTCTCAAGAGCTTGGCATGGAAAGGTCAGGGATTACTTGGAACTCGAGATCGTAGGCTACAACTCAGATTGTTGATTTTTTTTTAAATCAATTACTTTTTATTACACATAACAACAAAGAAAACAAACACCCCCCCCCACCACGTTCTACCT